ATGCTGCAGAAGAAAAACTATTTGGATATACAGTTAAGATAGAAAAATGCGTCAAATATAAATAATTCTAATTTTATTTACAGGCTATAATTAAAAGTGTTTTTGAACATTGTTTATTAATTTGGGATAATTTTGTCGTAGTTAATAGAACTCTCATTTCATTCTCACTCATTATACCTGCATACTCTTATTCTTTCATATTAAAGTTAATAATGTAAAATTCATGTTACTTTTATTAACCTTAATTATAAGTCTTACATATTTGTTAAAATAATTAATTCAAATCATAGAAATAAACTCAGTATGCTGCTCCTCATATCGGTATTTTTATTTATTTAAATTAACTTAAAATATCGATGTCAACAAGGAACATCACAATTATCTACAAGTCCATCTATTAAAGTAAGTGAAGTCGTAAGACATGCACTATATTTGTGTAATATTAAGAAACCAAACATAAGAGGGTCGCGGCATAGTGGTGACGTAGCATAGTTGGATGAAGTATAATGATATCTGACAGTGATTAAAATCACAATAAAAAAAAACGCTTCAATTAAAATCTTTTGATAGTGTTTAATTTTGAAAAAATAGTGGATTATTCCAAAAGCTACATGATCTGCTAGTTCCTTAATTATATCCTGATTAAGTTAAAGTATGTCGAATGCAAAAGGGATTATTAAAAAATATTATTTCTAAAGTTAAAAATGTAAAATATAAAGTCAAGAATTTTAACAGAAAAATAGTATATGGTAGCTATTTTCAACGTGAAGACAAAATAAAGTCCGACATTTTTTTTCCATAATAAAGTATATTACATAAGCTTTAATTTAAGATATATATAAAAGTGTAAGTATTTCCAGAACACTTTCAAAAGTTAAGTTGAAAAAGTTAATTTTTTTTGAAAAAGTTGTCATTTTATATCCCCCTGTGGGCAGGTAAAGGGTCAGATTTATAAAAAAAACATACCAAATAATAGTTAAAGACATCAAGCATCTATAAAAAAAAGAAATATATTAATCGATACATCTTTCAAAAAGTTATAGCATTATATAGTTAAAAATAAAAAAAAAGAATTTTTTTACAAAAATCGTATTTTAGCTTCGATACAAAGCCGAGAAGGTATTAATTTTTGAAAATGTTCCGGAAATACTGCGTCCTTTAACTCTTCGTTAGTCACCTTAACGATTAGAATAATCTTAGTCACCCGGGGTAATATAATACCCCATACTTTAAATTAATTATTTCATAGAATTTATTTTTATTTTTTGCTAATATATTTTGAGTATATGTATAATTGATATTTTAATAGCTGAATGCTATATTTTTAAAATATTTCACGATTAGGAGTTGAATATGGTTTTACCTCCAAACAATAGAAAACGTTTTTAATATGGCTGGGGTATTAAAATACCCCGTGGTGATTAACGAAGGGTTAAACTTATGTCAAATTAAAGCTTATTTTACATACTATAAAATGAAAAAAAAAAATTTGTCCCAACACCTTATCTTCGTTGTGCAAACGGCTACCGTAGTTAAAAAAACACTATTTTTGTGTTAAAATTTTCGATTTTAAATTTTCAAATTAAAAATGCTATAACTTTTAGAAAAATGTAATTATCAGCACAAATTTTTGTTTCTGAATACATTATAAGTACATCTTTCATTTGAAATACTTTTTATTAAAATTGGACAATTTCCCCTTATAAAGAGGGCGTTCAAAACTTGAAAAATTGTATAAAATATTTCATATCATTTGGTATGTCATATCATATCATATTTAATTTGGTTTATGATTTCATAGAAAACTCAATATTTATTTTAGAAAAAATTCTGGCATGATAGTTTATATATTAAATGTAAGGTTGAATTGATAGAAAGTAAAGAAAAGAGCTTATGAAATGATAGATGAAAAATTTGCACCATTCAATACCTGTAATACCTTCTCTAGTGTTCTTATTACTTATTTAGAAATAATAAATCTTAAAAGTACAAGAGTTTAAAATAGTTTTAGGTGAAATGACCTCAAGCATTGAATTATGCAATAGAGGTCCTGGGTTATTTTATTATTCTAAATCGTGGTGTAAATCAGTGAATCAATCAATCGCGTCTTTATTGTTATGGGTGACAAATAAGAGATAATTAAGCTCTTAGCCATAATAAGGTTGTAAAAATTCTATTAAATCATTATAAGGTAAAACCTAAACCGATAGTTATGAATGACGCTAAGAAGATGAGAATGATAGCTAGATATGTGCTTTTTACTCTTTTTCTACCCAGAGGAAGAATTCAAAAGTTTGAAATTAAATTTTGAAAATATTCCTGAAATACTCATGACTTTATTTTTTATGTCTGTAACTACTTTTTCACAACCATACGTTCAACCACCCCACTTAATGTGATTTTCAGTTTATTGTATTTTAATATAAGATGCATAGCTCACAATGTTATAATAGCGAGTGTACAACAGTGTAAAATTTTCGACAGATAAATTATTTGTTTGTATTAAATCGATACTAATTATAAATAATATGTGATATCGTAAGAAAATTTTTGAATATAAATTTATACCTAAAAATTAATTTAGCGAGAATTAGAAGAAAAATATAAATTTATTAATAAATAGAAATGAATAAATTATTTTTAAATATTTATTCACATGTTAAATTTTTATTTATTCATTTTAAGGGAACTAATAGTAATATTATTTACTTAAATGTAATTATATGAGTTCAACTTAATAATAATCTAAAAATTTAAAAAAATGTTCGATATCATAAATAGTATTTTTTTAAATTCTAAACTACGTTTAAAGTAAAGACATAAAATAATTTAAAGAAAGATATTTTCTTATCCCACTGTGCTGGGGTTTTTTTTTTATGTCTTATATAGGGGGCGTTCAAAACTTGAAACATTGTATAAAAAATAGAATTTTTTCAACTGAACTTTTGGAAATGTTCCGGAAATACTGTGTCCTTTAAACAAATATCAAATCAAAGGTTATGTCATATACTATAAAATGAAAAAAAAAGTTGTCCCGACACCTTATCTTCTATATGCAAATGGCTGTCGAAAATTTAAAAAAAAATGTAATGTTTGCGATAAAAATCACTTTCTATCGGGATGTTTTTTGTACTTAAACTGCCATAACTTTTTTAAATATTAACAAATCAAAATAATATTTTTTTATATTGAAACCTTAGGTAATTTCCTTTCATTTGATATAATTTTTTTTTTGAAAATCTAACACTTATTCTACTCACAGGGGGATTTAAAATAGCAACTTTTTTACAAAAACTAACTTTTTCAACTTAACTTTTGAAAATGTTCCGGAAATACTGTGTCCTTTAAACATATGTCAAATTAAAGCTTATGTCATGTACTATAAAATTTTAAAAAAAAATTTTTCCTGACTACCTATCTTCGATGCGCAAATGGCTACCGTATTCAAAAATATGCTATTTTTGTATTAAAATTCTGGGTTTTATATTTTATTTTATTTTAAAATATCTTATTAGGGGAATAAACTGACTTTCATGAATATTATATAATTTCATTGACATAGAATAAAGTTCATAAGACATATGAAATTAAACTTATTTAAATTTTTTTGCTTTTTTAAAGTCGAAGTTCGAAAATCCGCCTGTGGCAATTAATATTTTGCATTTTTTTGAGTTAGAAAAAAATGTTCAAATCATTTGATATTTATCTTATTTAGATTCAATAACTTCAATAAATATAAAGGATACTATTACTATAGTCTCCCCTGGTGAGAAGAAATTTATATTCATGTTAATATTATTATAATATGTGGTTCTTTTTGTGTCTACGATTTATTTTGTCAACCGTCACCAGACCTACTTTTTTTAATGATACGTCAAATGATTACAATTCGTATTTAGTTTAAATTATTACTCTTAAAAATCGAAAAAATATTCCTTATTCAAATAAAAAGCTTTTTTCATACAAACAATTTGTTTTGAAACTACAGCCTTTTAAAAACTACTTTTTAATTCTAAGATATTAATGTATTAACACTTTGGTGATAACACTTAGGTGGGTAAACCGAATCAAGACAATTTGGTATGAGGTGCGCACAATGGACCAACAGGTCTGAGTGCATGGGCATTATGTCCACCTCGATAATAACTAAAACTAACTAACTAATTCTAAGATAAAAAAAAAAAGGGAAAGAAAATAAAACCCAATATTTTGGACTATATGTTAATTATTTTTTATTAATTTACAATAAAATATAAACAAACACGGTTTTTTACAGAAAAACATAAACTAAAAGACAAATTAATACTTAATCTAGGTTTATCTCAATTACTTAACCAATTATAAAATGGGTAGTTAAATTAGCAATCAATAGTACATATATTTTTTTTAATACATTAAAAATATAAAAGAACCGACCTATAGCCGTCTTGCCTTGCAACTCAATATGTTCCGTGAATGGTAAAAAATGTAATAGGTGCCGTTTGTGTATATGATTTTGCTATGTCCGTTACCGACCAAGCCAAGTAACAACAAAAATCAATAAAAAAAACACATTCATACATCAGCCCGCGCCGATGATGGTGCAAATGCAACTGGTCCATAGACATAGACACGCACGATGTTGTCGGTGTTGACAATAGCGCCACCGAAACCGGTGGTGCGTGTCTTAGTCCTCAAAACAGAATCACGACGGAACATTCTCCCGCCTTTGAAAGCTCCATGCTTTCGAACTTTAAAAGAGCATCCATCCTTTGAAGGAAACAGCACCAACTTAATGAGCACACTTATTTGCCGCGAATACAGGTTCGAATAATAAAAACTTAACTATCATTGATATAAATTTGAAGTAACAAATATACAGTATTTAATTATATACACAAAAAAAAATCTTAACTATGTAAAACATTATAACTTATATCTAAAAGTTAATTATAAGAAAAGGAAATGGGAATTTATAAGGATATGCCGCGTCCCCCTTTAAACGGGTAATTTCGTTACTTTTACGACCAGTCGTTTGATATGACCGTCGATGGTCCGGATGGTAACGACACGGACAACCGCGTCTGAACTGGGATGAACTTCTGTAATGCGCCCGAGTTGCCATGACATTGGTGCGCGATTGGGGCATGGACTGCGACCATATCTCCGATGGCCAAATTGTCTGTTTGTTTATACCATTTCTTGCGCCCTTGTAATGTTTGCAAGTACTCACGACTCCAACGATGCCAAAATGATTGAAGGGCCTGACGAATGAGCTGCCACCGATTGAGGCGATTTGTGGAAATATNGATGAGCTGCCACCGATTGAGACGGTTTGTGGAAGTATCTGTCAGGTCCCCTTCTGGTAAGGCTAGTATCGGTTGTCCAATTAAAAAATGTCCTGGATTGAGAGCCTCCATATCGTTCGGGTCGTTATATATTGGCTGTAAAGGTCGAGAGTTTAAAACATCTTCAATTCTGACAAAAAATGTTGTCAGTTCTTCCATTGTATAAATTTGTGAACCTATGACCTTTTTTAAATGTGTATTTGTGCTTTTGATTGTCGCTTCCCATATACCGCCAAAGTGTGGTGCTCCCGGCGGATTAAAATGCCATTCACATGGAACACGGACGGAGAACGCTTGACGAAATTCTTCGTTATTAAATAGTGCCCTAATTTGTTTTGCAGCACCCAGATAATTAGTGTCAAAATCTGTGTAGAAATTAACGGGAATGCCACGGTGTGCTACAAATCGATCGAGTGCTGATGGAAATGCCTCTGTTGAGATATCCGTCACGAGTTCTAAATGTACAGCCTTCACTGCCATACATACGAAGTGAGCTAAATATGCCTTTTGAGTACGGGCTCCGCGTCGACGCCCTTCTTTTACTATAAAAGGACCTCCATAATCCATACCCACGTTATAAAATGGACGATTTACTGTGACTCTAGAAGTCGGAAGGTCAGCCATGAAAGGTTGAGGATGAGTCGCCCAATATTTCGTGCATGGCACACATGAATAAACCACCCGTCGTACGGCTGGTCGACCTGATATTATCCAGTACCGCCGGTTAATCATCACCAAAACTACTCCAGCACCACCGTGTAATAATAATCAATGATAATGCTGGATAATGAGATATAATAGAATTTTGCTTTGTTATTTATTAAAAATTTTTTATGGTAAAATGTTGACGTCTATACACTTTTCAGAATTTTCTTCACTTCTCCTTTGTATACTAATTACCATCAATTTATACAAATATTGTTCGAAATTCGACTTGATTGAAGCAAGTTTTTTCAGAGTATTTAATTCTGTATACGATTTCATCCAAACCGACTAACTAAACTTGAGAACCTTATTATGTTTGATGCGAAGCTGTCAAGATATTAATTGTACTATGTTTTTTTTCGTGTCTGTAATTGTTTGAACGGAATGCTCAGTAATACTCGTACGGGTTAGTTAACGTTCGTTTCGTTGTCTATGATCATGCTGAAGAAAGAAATAGGGAGTGGACGGTATATGCGATTGAGGATGGTACTTACATTAAATAAAAGTTTAAGGATTGCAAAACAAGGATTATATATTAAAATAGAAAGAAATATAAAAAATTATAAAATTGTGGATAGGGGGTCACTTAATACTAAAATGGCCGACAAGGCAGCTATTGTCAAAATAGATAAAATATAATATAATTAATACAAACAATTAAAGACTTAACTGTGTTACATGCAATAGATGAATGATGGTTGGATAAAATATATAGCGCACATACAAACGGAGTTACTTTTTATGTACACGAAAGACGCACAATGCGATAGACTGTTATAGAAATTTTATGACCACAGCCAATCACAAGAGTGATAAATGTATTGAAACGACTATGAGCTAGGTGTACCATAGAACCACGTCGTAGCAAGAGCCAATAATCGTGGCGAGAACACAAAATTCACAAAAGGACCTACAGTAATTCGATATACAACGATTGCGTACGTGAGCATACAGAATAATGATTCTCTCGCACAACCGGTGGTGGTTGTGCGAGTGTCATTATCAGTTATGTAATGAAACAAAATAGAAGTTTCGAGAATATTCGAGAAACTTCTAGAATAATTTTTCCACATAAATAATTATCAATTTTAAATACTTTTCTGACTGACAATTATTTTATTACTTTTTACAAATATATCGCTCATTTGGAGCAATGTTTACATTAATGTTAATTTTTTTAGTTACCATAAGCGTATTTGTGGCGTCAAACGGACGACAGGATAAAATAGTTAAATTCTTAAGAAAAACTAGCTTCTCTTCATCACCTTACCAACTAGTTTAATATAAACTGGCTAAGAAAATTAGCACACCAGTTCACTCTCAGTTCATTCTCACTCATTATACCCGCATACTCTTATTCTTTCATATTAAAGTTAATAATGTAAAATTCATGTTGCTTTTATTAACCTTAATTATAAGTCTTACACATTTGTTAAAATAATTAATTCAAATCATAAATATAAACTCAGTATGCTGCTCCTCATATCGGTATTTTTATTTATTTAAATTAACTTAAAATATCGATGTCAACAAGGAACACCACAATTTATCATCTATCTACGAGTCCACCTATCAAGGTAAGTGAAGTCGTAAGACATGCACTATATATATATGTAATATTAAGAAACCCAGCACAGAAGGTTAGAAGACCTTAAAGACAAAATAAAGTCCAAAATTTTTTTTTTCCATAATAAAGTGCATTACATTAGCTTTAATTTAAGATATATAGAAAAGTGTCAGACTTTCCGGAACACTTTCAAAATTTAAGTTGAAAAAGTAAATTTTTTGTGAAAAAGTAGTCATTTTGATTCCCCCCCTGTAGGCAGGTAAAAAGTCAGATTTATAAAAAAAATATACCAAATGATAGGTAAAGACATCATGCATCTATAAAAAAAAATAATTATAATGATCCATACATCTTTCAAAAAGTTGTCATTTTTAATCCCCCCCCGTGGGCAAATTAACCTTGAGATTGAATACTGCAGAAGAAAAACTATTTGGATATACAGTTAGGATAGAAAAATGCGTCAAATATAAATAATTCTATTTTTATTAACAGGCTATAATTAAAAGTGTTTTTGAACATTGTTTATTAATTTGGGATAATTTTTTCTTAGTTAATAGAAAAATGTTGGGCAACATTTCTTTTTGGCTTGTCTTCTCTGACTTAATAAATATGAAATTCAGCATTTTCATTTTTTATAAAAATGTGTCCTGAAATTATGAATACTTATACAAAAACTAAAATGGTTTTTTGCTAAATCTCAGTTTCATTAAAGAACTTAATTAATTAATTGATATATACCTCATAAAAAGTCAAAAAACAATTAAATACAGAAGAGTAGAATAATTAGATAATTAATAAAAATTTAGTGTGGAAGCGATGTCCCCAATTTAATAGATTTATAATTTTAATTGTGTGAATTAAAAATTTCTTACATTATATTGTTATATTTAATTATTAATTATTGTCAATATAAGATATTTCAAATAAGTAAGTAAATAAATAAGTAATTAGATGTTCTATATTTTTACTTGACAACTGTACTTCAAATTTCTGATCGTATTATTGACAGAGAAAATATAATATAATTTTGCTTTGTTATTTATTAAAAAATTTTTAATAAATTTAATTTAAAGTTAAATTCTTAAGAAAAACTAGCTTCTCTTCATCACCTTACCAACTAGTTTAATATAAACTGGCTAGGAAAATTAGCACATGAGTTAATATGTAAAAAAAATCGAACTTTTCTGATAAATGTACTGTAAATAGTAATTATAAAATTTCCTGATAGCATATTAATTTTAACAATTTCATTTTTTTCTATTTAATATGAAACCATAATTTATAAACCATAAATTTAAAATATTTTATTTTTTATTAATATTTAATATATTTAACATGTAAGTTGAGCTAAAAGTTATGGTAATAAATTAATTTTTTTTATTAAAACTTTCACTTTTAAGGACAAAAAAAAGTAGGTTAAAATGATTACTTTTAATATATAAAAATAAAAATCAATAATAATTTGAACACAATTAATTTTAAAAATTATGTAATATATAATTTAAAAAATTACTAATCTGGGTATAATTAAGGAAATGTTGCTTTTGTAATTATCCATCATTTTTTTAGAATTAAACACAATCTACAGATTTGCATCGAAGCGTTTCTTATGATAGTGATTTTAATCACTGTCAGATTAAATCTATACTGGACCCAACTATGCACGTCCCCACTATACCGCGATCTCACTGTGCTGGGTTTTTTTTTATTAAAACGACTAAAACATTTTTAAAAATGAATGAATCAAAATAAATTTATTTTATATAAAAACCCTAAGTATATATCTATCGTTGAATATAATTTTGTTTAATTTGACCCTTTACTTGCCTACAGGGGGATTTAAAATAGCAACTTTTTCACAAAAGTCAATTTTTCCAAAAAAAACTTTCAAACGGTGATGTGAACATAGGTGATAAACAAGTTAAATACGAATACAACTCTTTGATTATAGATGATGTTGATTACCCTTTAACACTCCATCTAACATGTCTACTACAATACAACAATAATGACTTGGAGACGTTTAAACCAATATTTGAAGGGACATAGGTTCATTTTTTTTTTATCAATACGAAAGTTGGTTTACAACTTCAATTCTCCATTCAAACCGGTTACTCGCCTTTTATTTAAGTTCCTTCAAGGTTTTGACTCTTGCATCACACTTAATTTGTCCTATATAAGAGTTTCGGGAACGTCCTGTAATTTTCTTTCTATCTGTCATACCCTCTAATATTATATTATGCAACTGTCGTAATATACTTGTCACTACCATAACATAGGATATTTATACATTATATTCTTTGAAGAACATGATCCTTTTCTAACAAATAACATTTAACAAACACTCCCTGTTTAGTTATACAATATATAATATTATAATAATATATATGATTCTATCATAAAATGATTAGTAGTCACTTTTAGAAATCATTCCTTCCGAGAGGAAATCTATAAATTATTTTTGTCATCTTTGTTATTTTAGTTTTAATATTAATGCATTGTATTAGTCCTGGTCTTATTGCAAAAACTATGTTAATATTATATATAAATGTAAAAATTATTTATATTCTATTCATCTGTAATAATCACTGTATTTTATGATTATTTGTCAAATAAACAGTTATACTTTAAGAATTAGACAATGATGATTTTAGGGGGTATAAAATATTATAAAAAGGCGAAGCAAACCCTTATTCCTCACTGTTCATTNTAAAAAGGTGAAGCAAACCCTTATTCCTCACTGTTCATTTCGTTCTCTGGATACATAAAGATACGTGGATATTGCGATCATCATTGTCGAAGTTCTTACGTGCTTAATATATGAACCAAAAACTTGAATTTGTGTTATTTTATTTATCATTTTATTAATATTATCACTGAAGTTAATATAACAATTGAAGAATAATTATCAGGTAAGATTTTTAAATTTATAAGAATATTTGTATTGTCATTTTATAACCCTTGAAATACACCCCGAATCAAAAGTAACTCTAACTCTAATCCTCACTTTAATTCACTCAACAATATAAAATCTTTCAATCTTTTTCTTTTATTAATTTTTAAGTTATGACACAACTCTTCTCAGTGTCTCAGGGCACCTCCAACCATTTTCCAGCGTATTGCTCTAATCGCATCTATAATTTTGTGATTTTCTCCCACAGCTCTAAACACTTCTTCATTTGTTTTTCGCTCGATCCAACTTATCTATATGCCTCCAACACCACATCTAGAAATTTTCTAATTTTTTCTTTTTGGTATCATTTATTATCCAAGTTTCACATCCATATGTTGCAACATTCCATACATATGTTTTTATAAGTCTCTTCTTGATATTGAGATGTAACTTTATTGAAGTGAGCAACTTATGTTTTTTTACTAAAGGTAGCTTTTACTAATGTTATGCGTTGTTTTATCTCGCGGACGCTCTTACCAACAGATGTAATTTTGATCCCTAGGTATACCATTTCCTCTACTTGCTCCAGTTTATGACTATCTATGTATACATTAGCGTTTACTTTAATTTCTTCAACTACACGTTATATGTCACACACTCTGCTCTCTGGGTTCGTTTAACACAAAATTTTTGTGACTTTTTGAGTTGTATATTCTAGTCATAAATCAATATTTTTAATAGAATTTTAATTTTAAATAATATTATTCTTTAGTAATAAATTTTTATTATATTTTTTTATTTTATTAATGAATGAAATAAAGTCGAATCTCACATAATTTTTAACATTTGTTAAGTAAATTTAACAATTTAAAAGATTTTAATGATATTAAAATACATATATAGGGCTTTATTAAATCATAACATCGAAGAAATTAAAAAAATGTAAAATGGTATTTATTTTACCTATAAAAAATAATATATTAGTTCACTAAAATATAAATCGTAGTCAGTTTTAACAAAATCTTCACAAATTTGTATTAAATCTGAACTTAAATTAAGAAATATTAAATTATGATAAATATTTTCATATGAACGTGTTAATTCATATAGTGTTAACAATTTTTTTTCAGGAACACAATAGTAATTAAAAAATTTATTGAATTTATTATGTGATAATAAGCGGGTCACAATTAATCGCTTTTGACGTATCGTGTCCAAAAATTCTATTACATTTGTTGCATTAGTTTCAGCATTTAAAGAAATATTAAGGCTTTTTAAAATATTGTTATATTCTGATGCAATTTTCACTACAATTTTAAAACATGATTGCGATTTCATCATGTAATCCCCAATGGACGCTTTTTTAAACAAGGCCAAAATTTCTAATAAACCATTGATCATAGTTGTAACTGCAGGGAATGTACTTTTCAAGGAATTTACACAAGTAATCAAGTTGTCATAATGTTCATTTTTCTGTTCTGATATGCATACATGTTGTATAGCACCTAAAAAGTCAGTAACGTATCTTAATAATTCACTATACCTACACCTAAATATGTGTGCAACTTCTTGCTTTTTTTTAAAGAAATTGTTTAGATTTTCTGCATCATACAGTATTTCATTTAAATCTTTAATTTGATCGTTCACCAAAATTTTCGTATTAATTAACAATTGACTATTATCCACGTTAATTATTGTATTTATAACTTTGACTGCGAGATCTTCAGATGAGTCATCATATAATGGTGATACAAGTCTATGAATACAAAAATACAAAATAAAGAGTTAATGATTAATTAGAATAAAATCTATGGATATTTCCAAAAGGTATTTTGTCAATTGTACCAATATTTCTATAAATATATATAAAAGTAGCAATAATAGCGTGCCATGAAGTTCTAAAATTCGACCATGTTGTAGTCATGTTTGAGTTATCTGTGAAGTTGATGCCATGTGTAATATAGCAAAATTGGTAAATAAACGTTACCAAACGAACTTTTAATGATATAAAAAATAGCGGTTAAAATTGAAGATTATAATTTATAAAGTTGTTTGTGTAAAAGTATTAACACAAATTTTATATTTTAAAATACCTACTAGCGTTGTACAAAGTTGTAAAATTAATTATGTTTAAAAGTAATTAATACAAGATGATAAAGCCTAATATTCGTAATGAACATTTAGCAATGGTGCATAAACTCCATATGGTGTCGGCTTCAACTAGTTGTAAGGTGAATATGGCAGACGGCTTTTTAGTGTTAGTATATATCTTTGGTTGAACATGACTCCGTATAATAGATCATTCCCAAATAATTAATAGTTTTGGTTCATTAAAAATGTAAATTACAGCGAATCTAGAAAGTGCATGTTCTCAAGATGTCAAGTTATATGGAACGCTTGGGAGAAAACGCTAGTCAGTTATACAATAAAATAAATTGAAGAGTTGTAGAATTGTTCGCCTATTAAAGATGTAGAACCTACATTGTATTTGACTTTAATTATTTTACGGTATTAAACATTGAAATACGTATTGAGAAAAGGACAGAAGAAAACACTATCTTTTCGTGATTACTATAATTTGGAGGTGTGTAACTTTTTTCATGAAAATGACTTATACTTTTGAATGAGAGTGATAAGTAATAATTGCCTTAGCAAATTTCTTATCATGGTATTAATGCCAAGGTTGTAAATTATCGTAATCACGAAAAAATAGTGTTTCATCTGTCCTTTTCTCAATACGTATTTCAATGTTTAATACCGTAAAATAATACATGAAAATTCAAATTTTCACAAACTTCAAAATGCTACAGAATATTTACTACTGAATATTAATAAGATATTTTTTTACTAAAATTTTTCTTAAATTCTACTCTACAAAATAGCTATCTTAGATTTTTTTTTTACATTTTATTTAAAATTTAAAAATAATTAATATTTTTAATAAAATGTAAAAAAATTAATTATTGAGATATAGCTATAGACCTAACGTATAACTATTATTTAAAAAAAAAATCAACTAAAAATATTAACTGGATCAAAAGTTATTTAAGTTGTCAGTGAGTGCTGGGCCACTCTGTATATATATATATATATTGTAAAATAAGAGTAATGTACATGTTTCTTCTTTAAACAAAGAGTGATTAAAGAAGTATAATTTGAATAACATGGATGAATTTACAAAATAACATTCTACAAAAATAATAAATTTATTAATGAAATATTATATAATAAAAATTGATCACTTGTGGCTAGTTAATTAAGTAAAATTAAAACTATATTAAAAATATTATTAATTTAAAAAAAACTAAAAAATATTAAACTCAAAAGCCACAAAAAAATTAATGAAAAGTCGCGGATACGTATTTCGGAAACAATGTTACCATTATCAACGCTAAACACATACTGACACCCCGACTAGAAAAAACTCCCTTATATACCCCTAGTGACCTTATCACCTAGTGACGTTATCACTAAGTAATATTATCACATTTTGCCAGTTTACACAAGTTTAATAATGAATTTTTCAGTGGGCCAAGATCCCAATTAATTAAATTGTTTTTATTTTTAAACATTTCTATTGCTTCTCTGATATTAAGTTCTTTGTAATTATTTACGTTTTTAATTAGTTTTATGGTTTTAATAGAGTGATTATGTGTCAATAAATGTTCAGCCACTGGAGATTTCTCAATTTCTTGATTTTTAATATTTCTTAAGTGCTCTTTAAACCTGACCCCTATATTTCTTTTTGTTTGTCCTACGTAACATTTATTACAACTTTCACATTGTATTTTATAAATGCCTGATTTCCCCCCTTCATCTACCTTATCTTTAGGGTTACCTAATAAATCTCTTAAATTATTACTCTTAGATGTTACCAAAGTAATACCAAAATTCTTAAATATTTTAGTTAATCCATTTGAGATGCCCGGATAAAATAAAATTGGTGATCTAATTACTTTTTGTTCCCCCTCGCTGGAGAGTGTACTAGCTGCCCTCCTTTCTTTTTTCCACTTTTGTTTTCGGACTAATTTCAAAATTATGTTTTCGTTATACCCATTAAATTTAGCTATTTCTTTTATAACCACCAATTCTTTATCATAATCTATTTTATTCATCGGAATATTAATTAATCTGTAAACCATACTATTAAAAGCTGACAATTTGTGTTGCCAGGTGTGGTTCGATGTGTTCGGAATGTATCTGAACGTGTGTGTGTTTTTCCGATAAATTTCAAAATTTAGTTCCCCCTCTGTTCTTTTAACTAATAAATCCAAAAAAGGCAATTTTCCCTCTATTTCTTGTTCATATGTAAATTTAATCGATGGGTAAAAAGAATTTAAATGTTGTATGAAAACCCCCATATTAAAATCTTTATTTATAACTGCAAAAATATCATCGACATACCTAACCCAAATTTTTGGAAAATCACCATAAGTGTATTTTAAATTTGTTTCAAACCTACTCATAAAAAGTTCTGCTAAAAATGGTGATAGCGGATTTCCCATTGCTGTGCCCTCAGTTTGCTCATAAAATTTATTTTGAAACTGAAAAACATTTTGACTCATACATAACTTTGTTAAATTAATAAGCTCATTTATTTTATCCTGTTCAATGTTTTGGTCCTTTAGCCAGTCTTTAAGAAAATCAATTGTTATATTTATTGGAATATTCGGAAATAAGGCAACTACGTCAAAAGAAATTAACCTGTCATTATTTTGAATGGTATAACTAGATAATTGTTTAACTAAATCAATATTATTTTTAACTGAAAAACTATCGAATTTTTTGAAAGATGAAAATACCCTTACTAGGTGTTTAGCCAAATTGTAAGTCGGAGCATTAATATTCGACACAATAGGTCTCATAGTACTTCCTGGCTTATGTATTTTTGGCAAAGCATATAGTTTAGGTATTTGAGGGTTTGAAATTTTAATGAAAAACCTGAACTTTTCTTCGATTATTAATTTTGAACTATTTATGACGTTTGTAGCCTCCCTTATCATTTTACTTAATGGATTCTTTTTAATTTCTTTATAAGGACCCTCTTGAATCATTCTTGATACTCTTTCATAATAATCTTCTTTTTTTAGTATTACAACAGAATTCCCCTTATCTGCCTTTAAATAAAAACAGTTTTTATTTTTTAAGTCTTTTATGAGTCGTGAATGTTTTTCATTTTTTCCTAAACCCCCTTTATTTATAACAGAATTTTTTTGTAGAAAATTTAAACACTCCCTTCTTGCTAAGTCTTGATTATTAAAATCAACACTTTTAACCCCCATTTCAATGCCTACTAGTAGATCTTCCATTGGAAATTTTTTTGGTAAAAAACTTGTTTTAAGACCCAACTTAAGTATTTCAGTTTCTTCAACGGAAAAAACAATGTTTGTGTAATTTTTAACTAAATCGTCCCCCCAGTTTTTAGAAAATGAAACTACCGGACTCTTATTAAAATTATCTATTTGACCCTTATTTTTGTATTCTGAAAGTAAATTTTGAAATTTTTTATTTAACTTTTCTTTTTTTGTTTTAAATTTATGTTCAACCACTTGGTACATCTTCAGCTCGAAGATGTCCCACTGTGATTGACTCAAAAAATTAGAAAGTTTTAAATGTAATTGATAAGCCCCCATTTCTAATCTACTTCTATTGCGATAATGATTTATTATTTCTAACTTAAGAAATTTCTCCTGAGCGAAATTTATTGACTTGTAAAAATTAATATTATTATTGTTTGACTTACTTGGTAANCGATGAATAAAATAGATTATGATAAAGAATTGGTGGTTATAAAAGAAATAGCTAAATTTAATGGGTATAACGAAAACATAATTTTGAAATTAGTCCGAAAACAAAAGTGGAAAAAAGAAAGGAGGGCAGCTAGTACACTCTCCAGCGAGGGGGAACAAAAAGTAATTAGATCACCAATTTTATTTTATCCGGGCATCTCAAATGGATTAACTAAAATATTTAAGAATTTTGGTATTACTTTGGTAACATCTAAGAGTAATAATTTAAGAGATTTATTAGGTAACCCTAAAGATAAGGTAGATGAAGGGGGGAAATCAGGCATTTATAAAATACAATGTGAAAGTTGTAATAAATGTTACGTAGGACAAACAAAAAGAAATATAGGGGTCAGGTTTAAAGAGCACTTAAGAAATATTAAAAATCAAGAAATTGAGAAATCTCCAGTGGCTGAACATTTATTGACACATAATCACTCTATTAAAACCATAAAACTAATTAAAAACGTAAATAATTACAAAGAACTTAATATCAGAGAAGCAATAGAAATGTTTAAAAATAAAAACAATTTAATTAATTGGGATCTTGGCCCACTGAAAAATTCATTATTAAACTTGTGTAAACTGGCAAAATGTGATAATATTACTTAGTGATAACGTCACTAGGTGATAAGGTCACTAGGGGTATATAAGGGAGTTTTTTCTAGTCGGGGTGTCAGTATGTGTTTAGCGTTGATAATGGTAACATTGTTTCCGAAATACGTATCCGCGACTTTTCATTAATTTTTTTGTGGCTTTTGAGTTTAATATTTTTAATATTTTTTAGTTTTTTTAAATTAATAATATTTTTAATATAGTTTTAATTTTACTTAATGAAATATTATTTAAAAATAATAATATACTTTACCCTGGTGTTGTCGGATGTAGTAAGTTATGAAAACCAAAATTGATGTACTCGAGCTTGAATGCTTCATCATAAAATACTTTGAGATTATTACATACTTGGACATAATCTAAACAGGAAATTGAATAGTTATCGTGTTTCATCGCATCATCATTTTTTAATTCATCTTGAAAACTATAGTACTTATTGTTTGTAATAGAAGTAAATGAAATTATCGAAGATATAATGTTATGAAAACTTTTAACATCTTCAAAATCCTTAATAACCATNTTTTTGACATTTTCAATATCCTCAATAACCATCTCAACTTTAGGATTACCGTTGTTATCGATGTACTCAAGTATGTCCAATTTTCTATTCGATTGAATGCCATCATTAATAAAAGAAATTTCATCAATAATATTTATTTTTTTTTCATACTTATTAAATACGTAATTCATATGTAAATTACTAAAGAATTGTATGACATTATTAATATTTTCAAATAGAGTCTTTGAACTTTCTAATGCATCATTAAGTGTAATTAAGCATTCAGTAAGATCATGAAATTGGTTTTTTAAATGATAGTTATCACAATATTGCAGTATTAAACCAATATTTTTAATGAAAATTTCTATAACAATTGTATATCTACAGATAAGTAATTCATTAATAGCATCATATATTCTAGGCAAATTATTGACATTTAGATGTAGACTTAAGTTTCCAAGAAAGTTTGGAATGGAATCTGAATTTAGCGTTAAACCGTCTGTTAAGTGTTGCATTGAAGAATCTTCGCCTGGAAATAGAACATATTTGATTACTTCTAATAAATATTCAACATAATCGCTTTCATCCACGAGTCTATAGCTAGTTGTATCGATTTGATTTATCCAAAATATGAAAAAAGTGAAATAGTATATTTTTATGAACATTTTATAGTCAATTGAAAATATAGAAAACAAAATTTAGAATAACTTATTTGTTAGATTCATATTAGTTAGAATTTATACATATTTTATACAATTAAAGATGTATATTGACTAAAGTTTAGTTTATTTTATCTACTATTTGCAAAGTTGTTTTAAAATTAAAATATTTGTTTAAGTGTTTTTGGAAGAGTTCTAGATATTTGCGAGTTAACATTTTATTTTAAAATTCTGTCACATATACAAAATTATTCAATTTTTCAAGTTAAATAATTTGGGAATGAATATTCTTAAAATATTTATATCAGCAATTTAATTATTAATATTTGTACAATTCATAATAATATAAGTGCAGTATGCATGAATAAAATATTCTTTAAAAAGAAAATCATATTTTTAAATATTTTAATTGCAAGGTTTCAGCCAAACCACAGGACCTACTAATTACCTACTAGTTAGGAAAACATTGGAGAGTGACTTAATAGCCGAGCCAAACGAGAATAGTTCTCTTTAACGGAGCTACTTGGTTTTGAGTTAAAAAAAAAAACAAATATTAATGTTGATACGATCACATTTGCATGTGCCCATATCTCTGTCTCCCATAACATCGTCGTACCGTTTAATAGACATATATATATATAATTAACACAGTGGCATACAGCAATACTAACAGGAGGGCGGACTGCACACATAAACACTTTTTGCAATTCACGACCAATGTGCCATAATAAGATATCCTTATCGACAGTTGACATTTTACCATCTTCGCGATCACTACTTTTGCCTGATAATTAACTTAACTTCGCTACCCCGTATATTATAGTGTGTGTGTGTGTGTGTGTGTCGCCGTCAGCTCCCTGTTGGATTATAACATCTCTAGGTGTCCAGCAGGTTGTATTATCCATTTAATATTTCAATTGCTTAATAAATATTTATTTATATCGTTGTTAACCTAAAGTGTTATATATATATATTGTAGTGCGACCCTTGGTAGTTCCTCTAAGGGAATATAAATTAAATAGGAAACTTCAGTACCTAAGGTAAATATAGTCTGGCCAGCTATCCCCCGTTGGTCCCTTAGAATACTGTCGACGGGCATTTAGGCTAAACCCCTACATATGTTTTTATAAGTCTCTTCTTGATATTGAGATGTAACATTATTGAAGTGAGCAACTTATGTTTTTTTACTAAAGGTAGCTAATGTTATGCGTTGTTTTATCTCGCGGACGCTCTTACCAACAGATGTAATTTTGATCCCTAGGTATACCATTTCCTCNATGAAAAATGTTGGGCAACATTTCTTTTTGGCTTGTCTTCTCTGACTTAATAAATATGAAATTCAGCATTTTCATTTTTTATAAAAATGTGTCCTGAAATTATGAATACTTATACAAAAACTAAAATGGTTTTTTGCTAAATCTCAGTTTCATTAAAGAACTTAATTAATTAATTGATATATACCTCATAAAAAGTCAAAAAACAATTAAATACAGAAGAGTAGAATAATTAGATAATTAATAAAAATTTAGTGTGGAAGCGATGTCCCCAATTTAATAGATTTATAATTTTAATTGTGTGAATTAAAAATTTCTTACATTATATTGTTATATTTAATTATTAATTATTGTCAATATAAGATATTTCAAATAAGTAAGTAAATAAATAAGTAATTAGATGTTCTATATTTTTACTTGACAACTGTACTTCAAATTTCTGATCGTATTATTGACAGAGAAAATATAATATAATTTTGCTTTGTTATTTATTAAAAAATTTTTAATAAATTTAATTTAAAGTTAAATTCTTAAGAAAAACTAGCTTCTCTTCATCACCTTACCAACTAGTTTAATATAAACTGGCTAGGAAAATTAGCACATGAGTTAATATGTAAAAAAAATCGAACTTTTCTGATAAATGTACTGTAAATAGTAATTATAAAATTTCCTGATAGCATATTAATTTTAACAATTTCATTTTTTTCTATTTAATATGAAACCATAATTTATAAACCATAAATTTAAAATATTTTATTTTTTATTAATATTTAATATATTTAACATGTAAGTTGAGCTAAAAGTTATGGTAATAAATTAATTTTTTTTATTAAAACTTTCACTTTTAAGGACAAAAAAAAGTAGGTTAAAATGATTACTTTTAATATATAAAAATAAAAATCAATAATAATTTGAACACAATTAATTTTAAAAATTATGTAATATATAATTTAAAAAATTACTAATCTGGGTATAATTAAGGAAATGTTGCTTTTGTAATTATCCATCATTTTTTTAGAATTAAACACAATCTACAGATTTGCATCGAAGCGTTTCTTATGATAGTGATTTTAATCACTGTCAGATTAAATCTATACTGGACCCAACTATGCACGTCCCCACTATACCGCGATCTCACTGTGCTGGGTTTTTTTTTATTAAAACGACTAAAACATTTTTAAAAATGAATGAATCAAAATAAATTTATTTTATATAAAAACCCTAAGTATATATCTATCGTTGAATATAATTTTGTTTAATTTGACCCTTTACTTGCCTACAGGGGGATTTAAAATAGCAACTTTTTCACAAAAGTCAATTTTTCCAAAAAAAACTTTCAAACGGTGATGTGAACATAGGTGATAAACAAGTTAAATACGAATACAACTCTTTGATTATAGATGATGTTGATTACCCTTTAACACTCCATCTAACATGTCTACTACAATACAACAATAATGACTTGGAGACGTTTAAACCAATATTTGAAGGGACATAGGTTCATTTTTTTTTTATCAATACGAAAGTTGGTTTACAACTTCAATTCTCCATTCAAACCGGTTACTCGCCTTTTATTTAAGTTCCTTCAAGGTTTTGACTCTTGCATCACACTTAATTTGTCCTATATAAGAGTTTCGGGAACGTCCTGTAATTTTCTTTCTATCTGTCATACCCTCTAATATTATATTATGCAACTGTCGTAATATACTTGTCACTACCATAACATAGGATATTTATACATTATATTCTTTGAAGAACATGATCCTTTTCTAACAAATAACATTTAACAAACACTCCCTGTTTAGTTATACAATATATAATATTATAATAATATATATGATTCTATCATAAAATGATTAGTAGTCACTTTTAGAAATCATTCCTTCCGAGAGGAAATCTATAAATTATTTTTGTCATCTTTGTTATTTTAGTTTTAATATTAATGCATTGTATTAGTCCTGGTCTTATTGCAAAAACTATGTTAATATTATATATAAATGTAAAAATTATTTATATTCTATTCATCTGTAATAATCACTGTATTTTATGATTATTTGTCAAATAAACAGTTATACTTTAAGAATTAGACAATGATGATTTTAGGGGGTATAAAATATTATAAAAAGGCGAAGCAAACCCTTATTCCTCACTGTTCATTTCGTTCTCTGGATACATAAAGATACGTGGATATTGCGATCATCATTGTCGAAGTTCTTACGTGCATAATATATGAACCAAAAACTTGAATTTGTGTTATTTTATTTATCATTTTATTAATATTATCACTGAAGTTAATATAACAATTGAAGAATAATTATCAGGTAAGATTTTTAAATTTATAAGAATATTTGTATTGTCATTTTATAACCCTTGAAATACACCCCGAATCAAAAGTAACTCTAACTCTAATCCTCACTTTAATTCACTCAACAATATAAAATCTTTCAATCTTTTTCTTTTATTAATTTTTAAGTTATGACACAACTCTTCTCAGTGTCTCAGGGCACCTCCAACCATTTTCCAGCGTATTGCTCTAATCGCATCTATAATTTTGTGATTTTCTCCCACAGCTCTAAACACTTCTTCATTTGTTTTTCGCTCGATCCAACTTATCTATATGCCTCCAACACCACATCTAGAAATTTTCTAATTTTTTCTTTTTGGTATCATTTATTATCCAAGTTTCACATCCATATGTTGCAACATTCCATACATATGTTTTTATAAGTCTCTTCTTGATATTGAGATGTAACTTTATTGAAGTGAGCAACTTATGTTTTTTTACTAAAGGTAGCTTTTACTAATGTTATGCGTTGTTTTATCTCGCGGACGCTCTTACCAACAGATGTAATTTTGATCCCTAGGTATACCATTTCCTCTACTTGCTCCAGTTTATGACTATCTATGTATACATTAGCGTTTACTTTAATTTCTTCAACTACACGTTATATGTCACACACTCTGCTCTCTGGGTTCGTTTAACACAAAATTTTTGTGACTTTTTGAGTTGTATATTCTAGTCATAAATCAATATTTTTAATAGAATTTTAATTTTAAATAATATTATTCTTTAGTAATAAATTTTTATTATATTTTTTTATTTTATTAATGAATGAAATAAAGTCGAATCTCACATAATTTTTAACATTTGTTAAGTAAATTTAACAATTTAAAAGATTTTAATGATATTAAAATACATATATAGGGCTTTATTAAATCATAACANGACTGATGATAATGGATTTTTGGTGTACCGGGAAAAGAATATAAAAAAACAGAAAGAAAAATCTAAAATTCGTTGGTGGAAATTGAAAGGGGAAAATGAAAAAGAGTTTGTCAAGACGGTAAAGGAGAGGACAGTATGAAATGTTCAAGGAGATATAAATGATGTGTGGAATAGATTTGATAGTTGTGTTAAGAATATTACAAAGGAGATTGTTGATGAGAGTAGGAGTAGAATGCCAGGTAACAAA